TTTTCCTGTTTTATGTACATATACTGATTTTTTTTTTTTTCCGTCTTTTTGAGACAAGGTTCCCCTGTAGTCCCAGCTGGCCTGGAACTTGCTATGTAGATCAGGCTGGCCTTGAACTCAGAGAGATCCGTCTGCTGGGATTAAAGGCATGTGCCACCACACCCAGCTACATACATACACTTTACATACACTTTAATGGAAAAAAAGGTATCATCTTTTTTGTTTTCTGCTCAACAAGAGGTTTTTAAAAAAATCTTCCACAACTGGTCAAATGCAGAGGGTGTTTGTGAGAAACTCGGCTCTAAGTGACACATCTACAAGACAACCTCTACACCTAAGGCTCAGAGAGCATAGCAGAACAGGAGGCAGAAGAAATATTAATGCATCTCTCAACTCTCACCAGTGAACCTTCCTCATGAACTAGATGGTGATTAACCTAGAAAACCACAACTGGCTAAAGTGCAGAGACTAAGAGACTGCAAAGTGTGTGTCCCTGGATAGGACATCTATATCAACTTCTGTCACCGAGGGCTCAGGGACCATTGTGGAAGACAGAGCAGAAAGACTGTGGAGTGGTAGATGACCACAAGAAAACAGTTTTCCAGACAGTTGGCTACTTGCTCATATTAACTTACAGGAATGGTGACAGCATGCACAAGACCCATGCAAGTACGAACTAGACAACAAGCATAGAAGGGGGAAAATGGGTAAGAAGCCCCAACCCTAGTTGAGAAGCTACTGACAACCAATGAGTTTGTTTTCTTTAATGGAGTGGCCAGGCTCCAGTGGATGAACTCACACCTAAGGACATCTGGGAACACAAACTTGGCTCAATGGGCCTTGATATATATGACAGAATTCATGGAAACTGGATATGGGGGTACAGATGGGGAAGAGGGTCTAAATGTGATCAAGATGTATTATATGAAATTAAGAACAAAAAATCAATTTAAAAAAAAGAAAAAAAAAATCTAGGGCTTGGGTTGTAGCTCAGTAGAGAAGTACTTGCCCACCACACATAAGGCCCTGGTTTCCATTCCCAGAGCTTCAAAAGAATAACACACACACACACACACACCCTGCAACAAAAACACCTATACTTCAGATATTATTCCTGTGATACAATTATACATAATTCTATCAAAAAAGTAAAGAATGCCAGAAATGATTTAGTAAACATCTAGTATACAAAAGCTGTGAAAGGAAGTTTATACTAAGGTAGTCTCTGCCCTGAGGGAAACTTAGAATCTAGTATATGACTCATGCTTCATATTTATGAAAATAACTAGAAAAAATGAGATAATTACTTGAGGGGAAACATTAAGTGGAAGTAAGAGACATGCTCAGAGGTATAGCAGTCTATGAATGACAGAAACGCAGGCCTCATGCATGCTACCCAAGTATAGGAAAAACATTTTTAAAGTTTCTTTTTTGAGGTTGTCCTGACTCACAGGATCCTTTAATTTTTAATTACTTTTAGTAAAATGTTAAAATTTTCTTTAGCCTGTTATAATGCACATCTTTTGTAGTAGTTAGTTTTCTTCTTGCATTTTTTCATTCATGTTCTTTAATGTTAAGTAACAGTTATAAGAAAGTCAATCCTGGGGGGGAGAGAGGGCTCAGCAGTTAAGAGCACTGGCTGCTCTTGTAAAGGACCTGGGTTCCATTCCCAGCATCCACATGGCGGTTAACAAGTGTAACTTCAGAACCAGGGGACCAGATGCCCTCTTCTGGCTTCCAGGGGTAGCTTACATAGATGCAGGCATAACACCCATAGACATAAAATAAAAGAAAGTCAATTCCGGCTACCCTTATAATATTGACATCCAAGGTTAAAACTCCAAAATATTTTAGTTCAAGATGAATGTTATGATCTGATTTAGAGAAATATAGATTACCTTAACTTCTAACAGTTTCATTTTATCAGTATCCAATTTTCTCTTAAGTTGGTCAATTGCATGCTGTACCTCAGTGATCTGGATTATAAGGTAATTCTGTATGAGACAAAAATAGGATTTATTTATTGTAACATCATAAATTGCCTTATGAAATAACTTTTAGTGATTGTAAAAATAATCTATTTCAGAAAATAAACTAATTGTTTTGGTATATATTACTTTCTGTTGAATTTTTGTTCTTTATGAATGACTTTCTCTTCTATCATTATTCATTTATTATTTTTTAAAAATGAGTCAAGCATCATAGTACATACTTATAATCCCAATATTTAGGAGGCTAAGGCAGGAGGCTATCACGTTTGAGGCCAGAGTGGACCACATAGTGAGACTCTGTCTCAGGAAACAAAAAAACCTGATACTTGTAAAATTTACCATTAATTTAGCACCATTAAAACTATTAGCTTACAAAGATACTAGCAAGCACTTAGAAATTAGTTGAATCAGATCAGAAATGTTTAAAAATATTTAATAATTAAACAGTTTTATATAAGAAAATCTCCTAAAAATAAAAATACATTTTCCATAAAAAGTTATGATATACAGTTCTCTTTATTGAAGAAGTTGTGATTATTTTTGTTTGTTTGTTGAGAAAGGGTCTCCCTCTAGTCCCAGCTGGCCTGGAACTGGCTATGTTGACCAGGCTGGCCTCGATCTCACAGAGATCCACCTGCCTCTGCCTCTGAGTGCTGGGTTTAAAGGCATATGCCACCATACCTGGCCCAAAAAAGTTATTTAAGAATGTTAAATTTCTGGAGGCTGGAGAGATGGCTCAGCAGTTAAAAGCACTGACTGTTCTTGCAGAGAACCTGGGTTCGGTTTCCAGCACCCACTTGGTTGCTAACAACTGTCTGTAACTCCAGTTCCAGAGGATCCAACGTCCTTTTCTGATCTCTGTGGATACTGCACAACATGGGTGTACTTACATACACACTCATACACATAAAATAAAAATAATAAAATATTTTTAAAAGGATTTTAAACTTTCTTTGTAAAACAAATTCTTATCTTGAACTCAATAAAATTGTAAGATGAGAGTATTAACTAATAGTACCAACAAATAAGAGTATTTATTTGAACCTATCTAGGTTTTATATTAAATTAATCTAAAATAGTAAACATTTACCACTTCATCATGTCTGAAGTGAAATCATTACTTTATCATAATTAACATATTTTTAAATCTTTTGGATTTGTAAGGTCAATCTTACAAATACCAAACTTAAATGGCTGGATTGTCTGCCTGCTACTCAGTTACATGGTAGTTACTCAGCAACAGGATTAACTTCCTACTGTGATCTAAGACTCAAGACTAGCTCAAGAATAAATGAACAGATCAAAATTCCATGTAATTTCACAAATTCTTTGGAATATTAGTCATTTAAACTCTGTGGCTGTTGTAAACTGCCCCGTACCTAAAACTGTTAGGACACTCTTAGCTCCTTACTCTTGTTTATCTAGGATACAATTATCAGAAGGCAGACAGAACATTCATCAGCAGTCAATTCAGATTTATGCCTGATTGACCCCCACCAGAATAAAGGGAAAGATTTCTATGTTCCATGACTCTGGATGAGGTTTCTCTCTAATTTTTGAATATATGGCCCCTTTTTGCCATTGGAAACTCTACTGCTGTTGTTAGGGAAAAAATGTGTCTTACCATGAAGTCAACAATAAAAACAACAGGAAGGAGACATCAAGAGCACCTAGGCCTCCCCCAGTCCTCTTATAGGAAGACAGAAGTTTTAAACTGTCTAAGCAAGTTTAAGTCAGTTTTGTTAATGTAGCCCAAAGAATCCTAAATACGCTAATACAACTGTAAAGCATGTTTTTGGAACAGACTATTCTAGTAGAAAAGGGCACAGTTTATAGTACTTTAGAGTCTGAGATGTTTGCCAGATTCCTTGGTCTCATCTTGATCTCTCTGGCTTCAAGTTGCAAAAGCAATTTTTTATAGTGAAGTTCCAAATCTTCTTGAAGTTTTGTTAAAACCTCCTCCAATGATGCTGTGATTTTCTTGGTTTCAAAGTATTTTTTCTTCCAGCTATTACAAGCTACAAAAAAACAAACAAACAAACAAAAAAAACCAAACCCCAAAAGTTGATATGGTTAAAGGATTAAACTTTTATGGTAGAAAGTACTCTAGAGTTAATGTCAATTTAATCCATTTCCTCCTCTCCTCTTTTCCATCTCTTACATTTAGCTAAGAAAGACAAGTTTTCTAGGTAATAACATTTATAAATACTAAATACTAACATAAATGCTAAAATGATGATACATTGAGTAACCATAATCAAGTTTTTCTTTAAACATAATTTCTGAAAAGTCTGTATTAAAAAATACTATCTATGGAGCTGGAGAGATGACTCAGAAGTTAAGAGAACATTTGTTGCTCTCCAGAGGATCAAAGTTTGGTTCCCAGCACCCACATCAGGCAGCTCAGAATCACCTTTAACTCCAGCTCCAGGAGATTGTTCTGGCCTCTGCAGGTGCCTGCATATACTCACACAAAGACATACACATAAATATAAATATAAATATAAATATAAATATAAATATAAATAAATCTTTTAAAAATACCATATACACCAATATATTTTATCTTTTAAAAGACTGATTTCTAAGACTTTGTTTTTTCAGCCAGTATATTGATTTGTTTTGTGAAACTTGCTGATTCATTGCCATGTTTACTATTCGACACCATACTACAACTATTCCTTAATGACAGCCTGATTCATAGCATCCATTTCAGCCAAGAGCCGACCCAAAATGCTGAGATTCTGTTCCTTAAGACTTCCCTAGGAGTTGTGCTCTAGAGCAGGGGTGGGCTCTTTGTTTTATTGAAACTGTATATCCAGCATGAATTGGGGGAGTAAAGTTGAGCCCTTAACAGAGAATTTTGTCCTTTCTGATCTCTAGACCTAGAAAAACACACACACACACACACACACACACACACACACACACACAGAGTTATAAATAGATGTTATCAAATTTTCTCATTGTTCGTAATGTGATAAGTGCTGTTTGCAATGTTTGATGTGTAAACAAACACATATACATTCATACATTATTTTGAAAGTAAGGAAAGGTCATGAGGGACCAGGTCACAGGTAGAGCACATGGCTCAGTGAGTTTGCCTATGTTATAAACTAAGATAATATTTCACTTTTGGTTGCAAGGTTAGTAAAAATCATTTGTCCAGACTGGGTATGTCCATATTGTAAAAGTCATTACCACAATTCATACCATTCAAACCATTTATCAGTTAGTCAAAATATCTCTCCCAAATTCTATAGGTATTATGACAGTTAAGTCTTCATCATCAACTTGACTGATTTGTAATCATCTATGAGGGTATTTCCAGAGAGGATTAACTGAGGAAGGAAGACCCATCCAGAATGTGAGTGGAACCAGATTATGGGCTGGGAGCCCTGACTGAATAAAAAGAAAAACGAAAGGCAGGAAGAAAGGAAAGAAGGAAGAAAGGGAAGAAGGGGAAAGGGGAGGGAAACGGGAAGGGAAGGGAAGGGAAGGAAGAAAGTAAAAGAAAGCAAGACAGTCAGACGGCCAGCCGAGCACCGACATTCACCTTTGCTTCCTGCCTGGATACAGTGTGACTAGCCATTTTATGTTCCTGTCATATGCCTTCTGTACACTGATGGATTTAACTTAAACTATGAGCCAAAATAAACCCTTCCCTTTTAAGTTGCTGCTGTTAGGTATTTTGTCACAGCAAATTCCACACCTTTAATCCCAGCACTTGGGAGGCAGAGGCAGGCAGATCTCTGTGAGTTCAAGGCCAACCTGGTCTACATAGAGAGTTCCAGGCCAGCTGGGGTTACAGAGACACTCTGTCTCAAAAAGACCAAAAGAAAAAAAAAAATCCTCCAAAGGCTTCTAACCTTAGAATAAAACCAAAACTCTTTACAGTGAACTTTCTGATTTTCTACCTACATTCCCCCGTATTTCTCATGCTCCAGCCACATGGGCCTTGTTTCACACCCTGGACACCACAAGGTCATTCTTATCTCTAGACCCTGATATTTAGTGTGCCTTTTATCCAGAATGCTTTTTCTTTGCATGCCTACCTCATTAATCAGATCAGCTCTCTTCAGAGATGCCTGCCCTGAAAACCCTAGCTAAAGCCTCATTCTGCATCACTTTCAACTGTGCCCTTTTTAACTGGCTTTTAAATTCTGATAGGTAGCTGTATTGTCTATTAACTGTCTCCTCTCATTTGGAAGCAAGCTCCTTAGGAGCAGGGCCAAGTTGTTCTGTTCACTTGACACATAGTAGGCTCACTAAATATTTGAAACATTATTCTTGAAGTAAAAAATGACTGATAATTGCCATTTTATATACAGAAAGAGTAAGAGGTAAAAGGAAGAAAATAAAAACTTAAATGGATTTAGTATTAGAATACAGGTCCCGTGACTTCTAATGCACTGTTCAAATTTGTGTGATACAAATCACTGTTGGTATTACTCAAGGCTGAATCACCGTGACTACTCCTAGGGTAACAAACAATTTAACATTGTGAAGTAGTCTTCAGAAATATTTCCCACAACTGTCTACAGCATAACCTTCAGGCACTTCTAGTATTGAAACAATTTTGCTATAAATTGACAATTCTAAAATCAATTCCATTGTAATTAGTTCTGGGGTTTGTTTGGTTGGTTCCAGCTGGGCTGGAACTCCCTATGTAGACCAAGTTGGCCTCCATCTCACAGAAATCCATCTACCTCTGCTTCTTGAATGCTGGGGTTAAAAGTGTGAGGCACCACACCCACCCCTATATATAGTTTTTATACTTTTAATTCTCAATTGCAACCCAAAATGCAAGCCTCTCAAATCACTTAACATTTTTCAAATGATGATCCTATACTTTTTTCACTCTGGCTCACATTTCCATTCATTCCCACCAATTCTCGCAATACCATTTCTAACTTTAATTTATTTTCATTTCATGTTGTATGAGCACTTTGCCTACATCTATGTAAGTGCATCATGTCAGAAGAGGGCGTTGGATCTTATGGAACTGGAGTTATGGATGGTTGTTAGTCGACACATGGGTACTGGGAACTGAACGCCAATCCTCTGCAAGAGCAGCCAGTGCTCTTAGCTGCTATCTCTCCAGCTCCATTTCTAATTTTTTATTGTAAGAAAATAACTTATTTGTCTTAAGTTTTCCTGTTCATTTGCCTTAGTAAGGCAGACAGACATATCCCAAAGTTAAGTTGAAGACTCAAAGATGGCTTCTAGAGTAAGTGATGTTACTGAATGACTGTAGGAAACAAGTTGGTGAGTTGAGTAGAAGAGAGTAGGAGATGACAGGAAGAAGACGTAGATGACGAGGGCAAAGCACACCTGACGGGCTGGAGACCAAAAGCACACTTTGGATCCTAGTGTATCCAAGGTGTCCTGGAAGGCTCTTGTGATTTTTCCAATCCCGTTCAGGTATACTTCCTTTGTATTCTTATCCATGCACTTCGTAGTTTCTTTATAACAGCATTAAGCAAGATACATTATTATTTAACTTGGTCGTCACTTCCCCATTGACCATAAGACCAATAATGACAGGGACATGACTGTGGATGCCTATTATTGTCTCTTCGGCCCTTGCAACAGTGTCAAGATCAGCTAGTCACTTAAACACTTATTTAATAATGAATCAGAGAATGAATTAAAATAAATTTCAATTATAAAATAATGTGACTCTTAAGTTACAAAGCCTTATGTATTTATTGTATAAAAGTTGAATGATTGTGTATTCTATATTGAATGTACGTCAGTCATGTATTACTTAAATTGTAACACTGAAACAGTAACTATTAATTATAATTTCATTATTTGTACTTAATGTATTGATTTTATAAAACTTAAGTTTTCTTATAGTTATAAAATCTGTGTAATGAACTTTACCTTGATATCGTTTCAATTTGTTTTGTGCAAATAGTTTTTCAATTTTTTTTACTAGTTCTTCTCTAACATTTTCCAGGTATCTTCTTTCTTCCTTTACTTGTTTCATTTGTTCAATAATCTTCTCTCCTAGAGAGAATATAACCCATACTCATCAATACTGAAACGCTAAAAGATGGCTCATGTCCTAAAATACAGAGTGCTACATGGAGGACTCATTTTGATTTCTAGGTGTAGACATGTAAAATAGTGTCTTTCTTCTGTGTCTATTTATGTGTATTAGACTTAAATTAGCCTTACATCTTTTTGGTTTGATTTTTGGGGTTATCGAAATTTATCTTGGGCCCAAAGTTACTGCAATTATCTTATGTGGAAAATCTGTATTTTAGAATTAAATAATATTAGTGACAGAATACATACAGTAACCAATATAAAATTCATATAATTTAGCTTTTTTTCTTATAAAATATATATAACAAAATTTCCATCTTAACCATAGAGTTTAGTAGCATTAAGTATATTTATATTGTATAACCATTACCATCAACCATCTCCATAACTTTTTTGCGGGGGAGTCTTTTTGAGACAGGGTCTCCCTGTAGCCCCAGCTGTCCTGGAACTCAGTATGTAGACCAGGCTGGCCTTGAACTCACAGAGATCTGTCTGCCTCTGCCTCCTGAGTGCTGGGATTAAAGACATGCGCCACCACGCCCGGCTTCCATATCTTTTTAAATCTTCCTAAACTTAATGCTTTGCCTATTAAACAATAACTCTGTTAGTGTATTTAACTTTGCCACAAAGAATCACCTATACTTACAATGCCACAAATACTTACTCTTAATTTGTAATAAAGAGGTATCAGTTAACCGTGAAGAAATACCACGTTGACAAGGAACTGAAGGAAAATCAATAAAGTCTGGTAGGGCAAAGTCCTCCTTTTCATCTACCTGTGAGCAAAATGAAAATGAACAGAATCTGGTAGATGACACGTTCTTTTCACATTTTCTCTTTAGCATTTGATAATGCACATGAACAACGCACTTTGTGTGTACAGTTGACGAGCATTTGATAATGCACACCAGCAATGCAGATTCTGTTTATACCTACAGACTCCTGCTCTTGTCTCTCCATTTCACTATTACTTGGATATTATATGGAGACACCATAAAAATTTTAAAAATTCATTCTTTTTCTTTTAAAACATCATTTCTTTGAAAGATTTCTGGTCTTAGTGTCTCAATATAATAGCTTAAGTTCTCTAGGAAGGCTTTTCACTTTGAGTCAATTTTGATAATTTATACTTGCCAAGAAAATTAATAATTCCATTACATTTACAAAATATTAGCGCATGGCTTTCTATTCGATTCTTATATGGCCCATCTCCTTTGTGTACACAATGCCTCAACTTTCTTTTCTTTTTCACATTTACTTGTTTTGTGTGTGATATGCCTTTGGGGGGTCAGAGGAAAACTTGAGGGAGTAAGCTCTTTCTTATCCAGTGGGTCCCGAAGTGGAACTCAGTGCATTAGGCTTGGTGGACGTGCCTGCTGAGCCATCTCACCAGCCCTTGCCTCAACTTTCTTAACTTCAATGTTTTACCTTTTTTTGTTTTTTGTCTTTTTGGGACAGGGTCTCCCTGTAGCCCCAGCTGTCCTGGAACTCACTATGTAGACCAGGCTGGCTTTGTACTCACAGAGATCTGCCTACCTCTGCCTCCCAAGTGCTGGGATTAAAGGCGTGCACCACCACTCCTGGCATGTTTTACCCTTTTAAAATAAACTACCTCATTCATGGCTTACCATATTGGTGTTTTTCATACTACTTTTATAAATCTTGAATTGTTTTTGGTTCTTCTAGGTTTTAAATTCCCTTTTAGTTTCTACTTCTAAATTCATCAAATTCTTATTTATATTTTATTTGTTTTGTTGTTTCTGTGGTTTGGAGTTCCTATTTTTGTTTCTTATTTTAGTAATAGGATCAAGTTTCTACAAAGTAACGGAAATTAAACTTTTTTCCATGTAGCCTTCCAATTACCATAAAAGGAAGACAGATAACTTATGCACTTTTTTTACCTATTCAGTGAGGAACTCCCAATTCTGTATTTGTAGCTATAGATTATTATGTTCTTGTCTCAGATTATAGGTCATAGGATCCTTCAATTTACATGTAAGTGGGAAAACAGGAACTCTAAACTAGAGTATGGTCAGGAGCTCACATCTGAGCAGAGTCAGAAGCACACTTCATGTCAGACATAGACAACACAGGAAATGTCAACCCTGCTTCATCCAGGAAGGACAGTGTCCCATTGTAGTGGAAAAGGACTAAGAGCAAGAAGACTTGGTAGATCACGCACTTTCATGAGAATCCAAAAGCCAGGGACTGAAAAGTGTAGGGTGATCATAAGAAGATGAAGTTTTTAAAGACAGGGAAATGCTTCTGAAAGAAGAGGTGTTTTTTGAGGACTAATTTCATAAACTAAAAGAAGAAAAAGTGGCCAAAATGAGAACTCCAGTGAGTTTAGTAGAAAAGAATCCCTTGACCCCTGAAAACCTCTTTTCCCAAAGCTTGCTTCATTTACTTGAAGAATGAACTGCATTTTACTGTAGCCACAGAAGAGGGTGCTCCTGATCTTAGAAAGAGTCAGCTGTTCCTAACAACTGTTAGTGACACAGAAATGTCAAGCACAAATATGGATCTTATTTTCAAAGTAGCTTAACTTGCTATAGATACTTATGACGAAAACCTTAAAATTGAGAGGTCAAATAAGAATCAGCAGAGAAGCAGAGGAAAAACAGTATTCCCAGTACAGATTAAATATAATAAAACAAGCATTTGCAGATACCAAACCATAAAACAATAGTTTAAAAAGCAATAAAAGTTTAAAACAAGCCGAGCGTGGTGGCACACGCTTTTAATCCCAGCACTTGGGAGGCAGAGGCAGGTGGATCTCTGTGAGTCAAGTCCACCCTGGTCTACATAGTGAGTTCCAGGACAGCTGGGGCTATAGGGAGACCCTGTCTCAAAAAGACCAAACAAACAAACAAAAAAACCCAAGACAAACAAAAACAAAACCAAAAAAAGTTTAAAACAAAGATAAGCTTTAACATAGGGAAAGACATTTACAATACAGGTAAGTATCGAAAGGCTATTTTCTAAAATATTTTTAAAACACCTCATGAGAAGTAAACGGCAGTCAACCAGTAGAAATACTTAAACAGATAATTTTAGAAAGAAGTTAGAAAAATTGGGTCAATGAAATGTAAAAACATGATCAACTCTATGAATAACTGGGGAAATTAAAATGCAAACCATAGTGAAATAGCATTCAGTGCCAACCAGATTGCCAAAAATTTTAACAAGTGAAGACAGCATGTGTTATTCAGGATACAGAGAAATGGGAAATCTATTGGAGTCCTTACTAGGAGTGTAAATTTGTGCAATTGTTTTGGAACAAAAATGGAATTTAATTATTCTGTGTATAAGCACTTCCAAAAATTCTAGACATATTATTGTTCACAGTACACATATACTGTTCATAATTGATCCCCAGGACCCACATGGTGGAAGGAGAGAAATGTCTCCAGCAAGTTGTCCTCTGACTTCCACATGTCTACTAGGAATATGCACACACACACACACACACACACACACACACACACACACACACACACAAAATAAATGTAGTTTTAAAAGTTCAAAAATAGGTAAAAGTTGAAAACTATAAACAACCATAGCAACAGAACAATTACTGAAGACAGAATGCTTTTGCTCCAAAACTGAAGGATCTGAGCTGGAATCCGCCTACCTGGGATTGCACAGCCTCCAGTAAGCATTCTAATCTATTACCTAACTAGCACCACTGAGTTGAGCAGGATTATTAAGGAACAAGTGGGCAGTACTGCTTATAATGCCTATTGGAATACCTTGCAAGCTTTCTCTTGCTTGGGACCACTCAAAGTTGGAAGTCTTCAAAATGGCTTAAAAAAAATTGGGAGCAGTGCACTCAAATACAGTAAAAATTTCTCCAAATTCCAACATGCTCAACAATGGAGTTTTTCATTTTAAAGGAGATACCTCAATATGTCTCAAAGCATAGAATACCTGCCCCCCGCAAATGTCACTAGATTGGCAGACTCTTGAATTTTCCCGAAGCTTGTATCCTACCCTCTAACAAACAAGTCCCATCCAATGTATATTTGCTATTTCCTCCTTGCTAGACCCAAGGGGATCACATGATAAGGTTACTTAGGAACTACAGAACATTGTTAGACCAGAAAGCCTGCATTAAACACAGCTTTTTGGTAATACAATGAATTTTGCTTGCTATTTGTTGAAACAAAACAACAAAACTCCACCTTTGGCTTTCTCTGCTAATTGGGATGGAGACCAAAAGCATTTTTCTAGATTGAGAATGGCCTAACAAGATGAAATTGGTAATTTTCTCTAGTAAAGAGATCGTGTAAAGAACAGCAGTTGCAGGGGCTGGACAGACGGCTCAGTGGTTAAGACAGTGGCTGCTCTTGCAGAGGACCTGGGTTTGGTTACTAGCACCTACCTGGCAGCTAACAACCATTCATAACTTCAGTTCCAGGGGATCCAACATTCTCTTCTGACCTCCATGGGCACTGTACACATAGATGCACTTGCATACTTGCAGGCAAAATACACATAATTTACAGAAAGAGTAGCAGTGATATTGTCACCTCTAGATGGCTAGAATTCATCAAGATACTGCATATGCCAATTAAGTGAGTCAAATGTGACTATGATAGGGATCTCCTTCCCTGCTATTTTTAAGTGTTGATTATGGTACCAACCTCTGCAATGGCTTTGGATGTTTGGGCATGCTTTGGTTTATTATCTTGGTAAGTAATATAGGCAATTCCTTTGTATCACACTTGGCTCTTTCTACCTAGCACTCTCACTGCCCATGAGCAGCAAGGACTATAGAAGCATCACGGACATTCCACCAGTTCCTAAGTCTTTTCTAAATAGGAATCAGGAATGCAGGAAACTGCAGGAAGAATTCACAAACTCAGCACACCATAGGACTGATTTATACCAAACTTCACTTATCATCTGATTTCTCTAAGCCTTAATCCTATTGGTGGGGTAGAGATTCGGACATTGGAATAAACTCAAAGCCATTCTACACTAATCCTGAAATACCCAAGTATCACCTTTTAAAAATATTTTCATTATTTTTAATTCTATCTATATATGTGTATGTTTGAGTGGGGGTATGTACATGTGAGTGCAGGTGCTATAGAGGCCAGAGGCATTTTAACCCCCCTGGAGCTTAAGTTACAGGAGGTTGTGAGCCACCTGATGTGGGTATTAGGAACCAAGCTTGATTCTTCTGCAAGAGCAGTACATACTCTTAACCACCTAGCCATCTCTCCAGCCCATCAACTTTCTCCCAGTAGTTATGGTTCATTTCAGTCTGAACACTGTGGTCACTTAACCTTAGGGTCACATGTGTGAACCCTTGGTCCTCAAGTAGTAGATCTGTTTAGAAAGTGTGCTGGATAGCTTTAGTGTCAATTTGACACACCTGGGTAGAGGAAGCCTCAATTGGGGAAGTGCCTCCATTGGACTGGCCTGTGGCCATGTCTGTGGGGCATCTTCTTGATTGTTGAGTGATATGGGAGGGCCCAGCCCACTGTGAGTGGTGCCACCCCTGGAAAGGTGGGCCTGTGTTGCATAAGAAAGCAGGCTGAGTAGGGGCCAGGGGAGCAAGCCAGTAAGCAGCGTTCCTCCATGACCTGTGCTCCAGCTCCTGCCTCCAGGTTCCTGCCCTGAGTTCCTACCTTGGGCTCCCTGATGAACTGTGACCCAGGAGATGTAAGACAAATAAACCCTTTCCTCCCCCAAAAACAGACAAAAAAACTGAGAGCTGGCAACATAGATCAGTGATACGGCTCTTTCTATAACATGTACAAGGCCCTGATTTAATCTCTGTAATAGTAATATAGCGACAGTAGTAATAACTGAGCCAATCACTATTGCTAGTTATTTAGGTACACTAAATCATTTAACTCAATAACTCTGAGATAGGAAACTGAAATACAGAGAGTTACATTAACTTTTCCAGGGTTACAGTTTTCCATACTCCTTTGGCAAACTCAAATACTAATTAACAAACTAAATTTGTCTTTAACTCTGCCAACAAGTATGTATTGTATTTTCTTAGTCTATTACTACTCTTCCAAACAACTCTGTTACTTGAACCATTAACATCTTCTTTCTCTGCCAATCATAGATAATAGTTTTTTCTTTATGAAACAGAGGCAATTTGAAGAAAAATACTACATCTCAAAGTTTATGTACCGAGTAAAGTTGGGGTTGATGCTCAGTTTTCCTCTGATACCCAGTTTGTTCTCCTTCCATTTTTTAAGGCTTTGCCGTCCTCATTGTAATGTTTATAACTCAATTGCTATAAGGTCTGAGACAATTTCTGTTTCTTTTTCTCAACGATCCTTTTTCTATCCTTAGGGCATTACTAAATCATTTTCATTACAGAGAATATGTATCGTAGCTTATGTAATCAGCACAAGACTTCCAAATGCATTGGCTTTGTTGCTGTCAGAATAGAGTTGATGATGTCAAAGATAGTAACTTCGCTAATGGGAAAGCCATTACAGGAAACCGCATTTATTACTTTTCTCATTGGTGTGGTAAAATATCTGACAAATGCAACTTAAGTAAGGAAGGGTTTATTCTGGCCCCAGCTGGTCTAGCACTTATTATGTAGACCAGGCTGGCCTTGATCTCATATAGAGCCACTTGCCTCTGCCTCCCAAGTACTGGAATTAAAAGCATGTGCCACCATGTCTGGCTTGCCAGATCTTTAAAAAAATTCTATGATGAGACAATATTTTGCTAAGTTGCCCATACTGGCCTCAAACTTGTAGTCACCTAGTCTTCTGAGTAGGTGGCATCATAGTCATGTGCCATCATGCCTGGCTCATTGTTATTATTTTGTGTGATGGTTACTACAGTGGTTCAAAGTGCTCTAGCGCCAGTTTAAACTCAGCTCTACTGCTTACTAGCTGAATGTATGAGCTAGGCAAGCCTCTGAATCTGTGGCGCAGTTCCCTCCTCTGTAAAATAAGAATGATAAATTATAACTATGTTAATCAGTTTTTCATTTGCTGTGACAAATACCCAAGAAAATCAACTATAGGGAGGAAAGATTTATTTTGGCTCCAGTTTCAGAGATTTCAGTCCATGATCAGCTTGTTCCATTACTGGTGTACCTGTGATAAGGTAGAATATCATGGGAGCAAGACTGTGTGGCCCAGAAAATTACTCACTTTATGGTGACCAGGAAACAGAGAACAAGAGGGCTACATGGGACTGGAGAGACGGCTCAGCGGTTAAGAACACTGGCTGCTCTTATAGCGAACCTTGGTTCAGTTCCCAGTACCCACATAACTCCAGTTCCAGGGGATCTGATGCCCTCTTCTGACTTCAGAGGGCACTGCATACATGTAGTACACTCACACATATGCACACAAAATATACATATGTATAAAATTGAATGAATAAAAAATTTAAAAAAGAACACCTCCATAGTGAACTTCCTCTTTTCTCCCTTTTTTGTTATGTACAGAATCCCCAGAAGGCTGGATGGTGCTGCCTACATTCAGGCTGGGTCTTCCCCAACTTAGTTATTCTTCTCTGGAAATGCCCCCACAGACACACCCAGGAACATGCCTTACTAATCCCCTTCCTAGGTATATTTCAATCCAATTAAGTTGGCCATCAAGATTAACTTGCACATCTACCCAGAGGATCTTTTGGTTTGTTTGTTGATGGAGAATAAATGAGTTCAAATGTGTAAAATGCTAGAACAGAGCCTGGTAGTAGATATTATAGTTAGCCATTATTAAATATAGTATTACTGGAATCTTAATAATGTCTTAAATTCATTCTGCAAATATTTGCAAAATTCTCTAGCTCTTCACTTCAAGTGCTCTTATCCCCTAAGCCACCTCTCCAACCCATCTCTTCACTTCTTGAGAATAAAATGGTGTTACAAATAGTATTCATTAACTCCTTTAAACCATTGCTATTCAACTTGGATAGCATGTTAGCAGCTAATAACTAGCAACTGAGGACAAACAATAACAACTAATACACTCTTAACACACTAAAACAATATGTTTGAAAGAGCTATGTCAATGAAATACATGCATCAAATTACAAATTATCTAATAATGCTGCCAGTTAAGTAAAGGTTAGTATACTTTAAAATGGTGATAACATTTAATAATCTAAAATGCTGTTGATAAGTAACATTTTCATCCCACTCATTTGGGCATATTATTTCTTTGCAGAAACAGAAACAAAAATTGGACCAGCAGTGACAGTTCTGATATTGGAAAACTACTTTGAACACTATAAACAAAATTTTAGATATTTAATATTTACTCTGAAGTTCAATTTTAATTTACCTATAATCACTATGTTGCAATGCCTCATTTAAGTAAAAATTTTAATGTCATACCTGGTTGGCCTGCCTTCTACTGATGGTTCTGTCATCATCATCTTTCCAAATAAATGAACTTGAAGAGAATAACAGATTTGAGTCATATTATTAATTCCATGAATATTAGCCTACATATTCACATATTAACATTTTGTTTTCTTTGATGTTGTGCAAATACAAATATACCATTAAAGTATTTAAAGCATCCCAAAGCCAGACTAGGTGGCTAGTGATGGTAGTCCTAATGTCTTTGGAGGCTCAAGCAGGAGGACTGGTTGAGCCCAGGAGTTCAGAAGCAGCCTGGGTAACATAGTGAGACCCTACCTCTTATAAAAAAAGAATCAGAGGTAGCTATATTTTCTTCAAACTCATTAATGATCAACACAAACTACATTTAGTATAATAAAACAAGACATCATGATGTATCTATGATAAGGTAAAATAACCAGAAATTTTATGAACATTTTATAATTCTTTTGTGAATAATTATTCACACAACACTTAATGTGATAAGACTATAACCGAAATTGTTGTACAAATAATTTTTTCTTAAAATCCAGATTAGGATATGTGGAATCACCATTTGTACTAATTACCTCTTTAAGTTCTTAAAATAATCATTTGACTCTTCCAATGATCCTGGAAACTCAGGGCTTCCAATGTGATTTTGTGTAGTCTGGCTTTCTTTTGGAGTGGCTTTTCCTTCAGCTGATGTTTATAGTAAATAAAATTAAAATATTAATAGTAAAATAAACATTGTTTTATATGTATACTATAACCTTGCTCATGAACTTTACAAATATAAATCCAGAATTTCCATAGTGAATTTCATGAAGCATTAGTTTATATGAACACAAAGTTGTTTAGTGAACTCAGTTTGGGAAACAGTGAATTAAGAACTCTGAACAAGTTCACCTCCCCCACTAACACACACATATATGCATGCACACACTCCTCCTGAAGGATTTCTTGTTTATGTGCAACGAGAATCTGAAAGAGGAAATTAAGTTGGGTTTTACTCAAGCTTAAGTCTCCATAAACCTTTTACCAAAAGCATCTTCTAAAATAATGCTCTAAGTAACCTACTCAGAAAAATGCTGGTACGAAAGCAGCAGGAAATGTCATTTCTCATTTCACATACATTTTCATTTGTAGAATCTCCATTCAAATAGTAATTATCCAAAAATATATTTTTAAATATGAATAATAATGCTCTATTTATAAAAATACATGGACCTAATACTGTTAATGTAAATTATTTTTACACTATCCCATAGAAATATTTTTTTTTTTTTTGGTCTTTTTGAGACAGGGTCTCCCTGTAGCTCCAGTTGGCCTGGAATTTACTATGTAGACCTGGATGGTCTTGAACTCACAGAGATCCACCTGACTCTGCTTCCCAAGTGCTAGATAAAGGCCTGCATCACCATGCCTGGCCCAGAAATAAACAGTGAGCCAAATTAGTATTTGAAAAGTCGCTTTAAAAGGTGTCAAAATATTCTACAACTTGAAACCATATTAGTTTAATTTTAATTTGGGTATTACCACTTATTTCCCAGATGACACTGACAAAGTCAAACAAAGAATTTTTAAAACGATCTAGTTAATATTAAATGAACAAATACTGGATATACCAGCTATTTAAAGGTAACAAACAGTAAAGGGGCTGGTGAGATGGTTTAGTGGTTAAAAGCACCGGCTACTCTTGCAGAGGACCTGGGTTCAGTTCCCCGCACCTACAGGGCACCTAACAACTGTCTGTAACTCGTTACAGGGGATTCGATACCTGCTCTTGGCCTCAACAAGTTTACACACATGTGGTACACTTACATACAGGCAAAAACATTTACACAATAAAATAAAAAGAAACATAATATTTTTATGTCTGTGCATTATCTAGCCAGCAAGAGAAGCTTTGCAATAAGGATACCATTTAGCAGATGGAGCGGTTTCTGTTGGACACTAAGTACTGCTACAAAAATAAATACAATATTTTTAAAACCCCCCAAAAGTAAATACTACTCCCTCTACCTACCTCCACAAAGACATGACAATGCAAAACTTAGTAGATTTGGTAGGAATATAGGGCATGTATCTGCCACTCCTACCAGCAATGCTAAGCATGATGCATGCTAACATCTAATACCTATGCAACTGCATAACAAAAAGAAGTAGACCTATTTTTCTATTTACTCTTAAAAATAATGATATGTTTTAAGAAAAATGATATAGTTATTCACAGAAAAGGGAATAACTGAAACTAAGCTGTTTGTGAGACAAAGGAGCAAGAGAAATGTAAGCAGAGAAACGGCATGTGCAAGGTACAGCACACTAGCAATGTGTGTAACATTTTTAATCAGTAGTGAAAATTCAGCCTGACTCAAGTCCAGTGTTGTCAAACACATGCAGCTCAGGTCTTAGCACTCCCACTGCAGGTGTGACTTCAGACACGCTATTTCTCTGTGATTTCACAATTTCTCTCTCTTTAAAATGACATGGTGCTGAAGTACACGGTCCAAGTCTTAGAATTGCAACTTCAAGATGGCTTCTATCCCATGGCCATTTTCCCAAATCAGGTCTTCACTGGCCAAGTCTGTTCTTCGCATTGTTACCTAAGTTGTGTTTCTAGAACTGAAATTCAATCATGTCACTCTTGTTAAATAATCCAAATGGTTTCATCTAAGTTCATTAGCCTTTCACTCAAAGAGCTTAAATTCCTACCTGTCTCTCCATAAATATAAGCTCATGGTACATGTTTGTTCTCTATCTTTATACAATAATTGCTAATAACGACAATAAAAATGATTGAACGAACCTCCCCATTAACTAAAGCCTGAAAACTCTGTATCACGATTATGTAGAGAAAACACTCTGGAGGTAGGGCACTGAACCATCTATGTGTAATACACTGTAATGTTGGGATTGACTGAACTCAAGGTATGAAGAGTTCTGTACACCATCTTAAGGAGGGCTTCAAGTAGTAATGAAAAAAGGCTTTGTAAAGCAGAGATATGTCAAATTGATAACAATAATGATATGAACATTGTGAAGGTCAGATTATACTGAAAGGAACTATAAACAAATAGGCTTGATGAGATGGTTTTAATGGTTCCTTTTACCAAGAGTAATATTCTTCTTCTTTTTTTTTACATTGTATGTGTATGAGTGTATTGCCTGCTTGTACGTGCACCCATGTTGTGCAATGCCCATGGAGGTCAGAAGAGTACTCAGGAGGATGAGGCAGGAGCATCCTGAGTTAAAGGTCAGCGTGGGCCTTGAACAAATCAGTCTATACTACTTTATTCTTCATATCCCATGCAGGAGGCTTAAAGAACTAAATGTGAAAAACAAAACATTCAAATCACTCATCAAATATTCATGGGTATTTTTTAAGCCAAAGCTAGTAAAGTACTTTCTAAATATGAAATCCAATTTAGAATCCATAAAAGAACAACATTTATAAATAAAACTAAAACCTTTTTGAAAAACACCAAGAACAATGTTAATCTACAAATTGGACAGTTTTTATGACATGGAAAAAAGCTTATAAATCTAATTTCAAAGTGAACAAAAAACAGGCAACGGAAAAAGCAACAGTTCATGAAAGTCAAAGAACAATCAACATTGTAAGGGGTTCATCGTCTTTAGGAATCAGAGAAATGCTAAAAAGGAGAAAACAAAGATGAGTATATTTCTTCTATCAAAATGGTAAAGTCAAATCGACAACATCTTAGTGTTAACAGTTGTTTTTTCATTCCCATGCCATATTAGAGAAGCCTGCAACTGTATAAAAAATTTGAGAATCTATATAATTATCATCAATCATCACAGAGAAAAATCACTCTAATGAACCAAATCTTAAAGTGTTTAAATACCATAAAAACTGAAGTAAACCACAAAATGTTTACAAGATAAATTAGATCCTATTTTCATCAGATTGGGGTATAAGGAGGATTCTTAAAGAAGACACAAAATTACATTAACATTAAAGAAAATGCTGATAAATTTGACTACATTAAAATGTAAGAATTGCAGTTGCTTTTCTTAGGATACAGAAAGTTAATAGAGTGCTCCCACCTAAACTAAGAGAAAAAGATAATCTAATTTTTTTTTCAAACCCATTAGAGAGCTGACCTTATAATTTTTTTAACGCATCAGAAAGTTGATGTTATAAGACAATAGAAAGATTAGGTGTTGAAGAGACGGCTCAGTAGTTAAGAGCACTGGCTTCTCTTGCACAGGACCCAGGTTCAGTTCCCAGCACCTACATGGTAGATAACAACCATCTGTAACTCCAGTTCCTGGAGATCCAGCACCCTTATCTAGCCTCCACAGACATTTCATGCATGTTGTGCACTAACATATATGTAAGCAAGATACTCATACACATGAAAAATAAAAATAAGTAAATTTAGAGTCTGGAGAGATGGTTCGGCAGTTAAAAGCACTGGCTGCTCTTGCAGAGGACCAGTGTTCAGCTCTCAGCACCAACATGGTGGCTAACCACTACCTGTAATTCAGTTCCAGTGGATCCAATGACATCTTCTGGCCTCCACAGACATTACATGCACAGGTGCACTTAACATACAAAACATTCATATACATAAAAATAATAAATGAAATATTTTTAAAGATTTAATTTCAATTAAAAAAGATAATGAGAGTAACTTTCCAAAATTAAGGACAATCCACAAAGCACAGATCCAAGAATCTCTGAAAACTCCATAAAATTAAAATACTGTGCATACCATAATTATATTGCTGAAAACAAAAGCAAACTCTTTTTGTTATTGTTCTGTTTTCTGTTTTTCCAAGACAGGGTCCCCCTGCATCCCCAGCTGGCCTAGAACTTGCTATATAGACCATGCTGGCCTCAGTCTCATAGAGATTTGCCAGCCTCTGCCTTCAGAGTGCTGGGGTTAAAGGTGTGAGCTACCATGCCTGGCAAAAGCAAACTGTTAAACAGAGCAAACAAAAATAACAGACTGCCCATCTGAAATGATGCAAGCCACAAAACAAAATGTAACAAGTAGAAAACAAGTGACAAAAGGACAGGTTTAAATCTAACCATATCAAAATTAAATATGAACATCCCAGCACTCCAATTAAACTTGACACTGTCAAGTTGAATTTAAAACTATCTAATCAGCCTGACAAGATGGCTCAGCAGCTATAGTCAGGTGCTTGCTACCAAGTCTGCCAATCTGAGTTCAATCCCTAGGACCCACATGGTTGAAGGAGAAAACTGACTCCCACAAGTTATTCTCTGACTTTGACACACATTACGATGGCATCTACCCCACCACTTTCTGCACCCAAAATAATAAATAAATAAATAAATGTAATAAAATATGCAACCATAAGCCTTTTATATAAAACCTACTGTGAGAGGACTCAGCAGTTAAGAGCACTGGTTGCTCTTACAGAGGACTCGGGTTCAGTTCCCAGCACTCACATGGCAGCTAACAACCATCTGTAACTTCAGTTCCAGGGGATCTGATGCCTTCTTCTGACCTCTGAGGGCACTGCATGACATGGGTGCACTTTAATACACTCAGGCAACAGATTCATACACATAAATTAAAAAAAAGAAAGCTAGGCTGATAAAGTAGTATTATACTTTGTAAATGTCAAAATGACTATTACCAGAGATAAAGAGAACCATTACATAACACAGGGATCAATTTGTTAAGAAGAAATACTAATTCAAAATATGCATTAACCCACTACCAAGCTTCAACAGACACAGAGCAAAATCTGAGGTATCTGAAGACATTCTACTTCTCAAGTCACAAAGGTTCTACAGCCTTCCTAAAATAGTACCAACATTTGGAAGAACCAAGTGTTCAAATAAATGAGCCTTATGGGAACATTTCACACTCAAACCATAACATCAATAAGGAGATTTAGAAGAAAAATAGAGCCAGGTATGGTGGCAAACACTTTTAATCCCAGCATTCGGGAGGCAAAGACAGGCAGATCTCTGTGAATTCAAGGCCAGTCTGGTCTATATAGTGAGTCCCAGGCCAGCTGGGGCTATAGGTTACCTCTGAATAGTAGAAATCATTATTAATCTTTGTTTTTTTCTTGATATACACTAGTGTTTCTTGAACTTTTAAAAATTAGCATGCACTAACATCCCAAAATTTGTCTTTTTAAAGAAAAGCACCAAAAACTAAACTCACCTTAAGAACCATACTTGTGAGGAATTCATATAATTTAAGACTTTCACCAAGTTTTAAAATGTGCAGTTACCATAATTCATGCATAGAGTGTGAAATATGACATTACTCAAAGTCTTATGGAGGACAACTGACAAGTTCACAAGGCACTTGACCTTGTACTGTTCAGGAACACTGGATTTTACTCTGTTTCTCAGATATCTGCCTTTTCTCTAGTGTTTAGGTGATTACCATAAATCAAAAACAGAGACCAGTTCAGGTAAAGAATCTAAGTATCTACCTCACTGGCATCAACTAATGGAATTGATAAAGAAGTGCTAAGTCTGAAACATTAGGTATGAAATAGGAACCAATATTATACAGCTGTAATGGAGGATAAAACTGTTCAACTGATTATTTTTCTAAGTGATTACTTACCACTATGTATGTGTGGTGGTGGGTGTAGATGTACCAATGTGTAGGCATATGGGTGCACAAATATGCATGTGGAAGACAGAAGCCAACCTTGCTTGGTGTCATTCCTTGGGTGATATTCACGTTTTGTGTGTGTGTGTGTGTGAAGATTTATTTTAATTATGTATATGGGTATGTGTCTGTGTGTGGATATGTGCACATAAAGAGGGCACTGGATTCCCTGGAGCTAGTGGTTTGACCCATTTGGTGTAGGTGCTAGGAACCAAACTTATGTCCTCTGCAAGCAGTAGGTGCTCTTAACCTCTGTTTCTCCAGTCCCCATCTCTGTGTATTTGAGACAGGGTCTCTCACTGACCTGGAGCTCACCAAGTAGTCTGGGTTGGCTGGGTTAATGAACTTGGCTCTGCCTCCCCAGTGCTGGGATAACAAGCACATACCATCATGCTTAAATTTAAAAAAAAATGTTTTTAATGTGGGTTCTGGGAATCAAATTTAGTTCGTTATTCTTGCAAGTCTAGCACTTTATTGACTGAGCTACCTCCCTCACCCCTTTTTAATTTTAACAAAGTACTTAATGTTTTCTTCTTTTCCACCTGCTAATTTTTTTTCCAAACTGAATTGCAGCTCTCTTTATACCTTGCCTATATTTGTAAGGTTAGATTTGCCCAGAAGTTGATTACAGGCCTGATTGCTAAAATGGACTGCAATAAACTCTTTGTCTTCCCCATTTTAGTTGAAATCACCTTCATCCTGATTTGAAAAGTCTTTCCAAGTATTTTCCAAGAAACTTGGATCTCTTTCAGGTTCATCCTTTGACAACGTCACATTAGGTATTCTGTGAACTGTCCCGTTAATCTCAGTGCTGTCATTAGTAGTCTGCTGTTCATCTAAAGTAACTGTTAATGATGCTGAATAAACGTTTCCTAAGTGATCTATTACAGGAAGTAAGTATAATTCTGGTTGAAGAGCCTAAAACATATAGGAAATTTTTTTAAAGTTAAAACCAACAAAAAAATTTGAAGTTTAAAAATTAGTGCAAGTTTAAGATTTCACAGTACTTACATAGGGAGGAGCAAATGAACTGAGTTTTAATTCTGATTCTTGCTTTTCCTTTACCTATATTTAAATAAATAAGAAAAATGAATTCCTTTATACCATTTTTGAGTGCTTTCTCTACAATTTTGTGGAATATATATAACATACCAATAAATCAGCTAGGAAATATGCCTAGATTATAAAGAAGGTAGAATATATTTCTATTTCTAGTCACTGCACCAAACATAATAGAAATTCTGTCATCTAATAATAATCACGGAAATCATTTGCATCAGAATCAGTCTATGCTTAGCACTATTCTATGTGCACTACATAGATTAGTTAATCTTCAAAAAATTTTTAAATTATTTATTTAATAACCACATAATTAGAAGAAACATTTCTTTACAACAGCATTGACATATTCAATAACAATTTCCAGAGCTAAGATGCATCTCTTTCAAAATTGGCTGTAAAATTTTAGGTTTACACTTGAGTTAATACAATTATACAATATTGTATTCAGTATAAACCCTGAAAGACATAAAATTAAATGAGGTTTTAGCCTTTAAAAACGACAAGCATGAGTGAGTGTGCATTTCTAATCTCTATATATCTGATTATTACTAGTCACAGTCAGTTACTTTCTGAGCTCCTTAGCATCTGAGCATGGATATAAAGTCATCCGGGAGATTTCAATGGTAATGTTTTTCACATCTACTAATTACTAAGGAGCAAATTTTTATGCTTTGAAGAATTATTTTTTTAATTTTTTAAATTTAATAACCACATGACTAGAAGAAGTATTTCATTACGACTTTAACATATTCAGTAACACTCAGAGCAAGGATATATCTCTTTGAAAAGTGGCTATAATTTTTAGGTTTACAGTTGACTTAATATAGTTATACTATATTGAACTCAGTATAAACCCTGTATGAATTAAAATTGAATGAATTTTTATCCTTTAGAGAAGATCTCCATTTTATTTTA